AGCAGCCCGAAGTTGTACTGATTCGACGAGATTTATATCGCGCAGAAGCACAGTGTCCCATACCGGGCCAGCGAATTCAAGAATTGGCCTCACGAATGCCTTGTAAATGTAGGCGCAAGTGTTGACATCGGATCCTTTGAAAGACCTCTCCAGCATGTATAGAAGTTTCTTGGATTTTGATGTAACGTGGTGAATATGCTCTGACCAGGAAAGACGATCGATGACTACAACGCCCAGATCAGTGTGGCTGGAAACTGCTTCGATGTTGTGGTCAGAGATCTTGTATGTAAATCGCGGATTTGTCTTCCTGAGGTGAAGGACACAACACTTAGTTAGATTTAAGGGTAAAAGCCAACTGACTGACCATTGACAAACAATATCAAGATCTCGTTGAAGCATAGCAGAATTTACGACAGTATTGTAAATCTTGGTGTCGTCGGCATAAGCTGAACATGTGGAGGAAATCAATGTGGGCAGGTCACTTGTATACAGAAGGAACAGCACTGGCCCCAAGACAGAGCCTTGAGGAACTCCACTTGCTACATGATGAAGGTGAGACTGGCTATCACTGACGCGCACAGAGAAAGTCCTCCCGGTGAGAAAAGCCTTAATCCACAGTAACAACTCACCTCTTATTCCCATACATTCCAACTTAAACAGAAGCCTTCTATGTGGTACGCGATCGAAAGCCCTAGAAAAATCTAAGTAGATTATATCAACAGGAGTCTTTGTGTCCAGATACTGAGTACAATCGTTGAGAGAGTGGAGAAGGTTGGTCATTATTGATCGACCAGGGAGAAATCCATGCTGATTCTTAGGGATAAGGTCATTTTCGAAAGCAAATGACAGGAGCTTATCTAATATGATTCTTTCAGCTATTTTGGCGGCGATAGGAATGAGACTTATTGGTCGATAATTTTTAGCGGAGGATTTGTCGCCCTTTTTGAATACAGGGGTAACAGAAGCACTAAGCCAGCATGAGGCTAGGGTATGAGATCTAAAAGACGATGTGAATATCAAGCTTAATGGTAGGGCCAGTGCTGAAGCGCAGTTTTTAAGTACAGCAGCCGTCATCCCATCTTTACCAGGGGAGGAAGAGGTTTATTACAATATTTTCACTGCATTATCTAACTGCAACAAGCGGCAATATTTTTTAGTTCTTCTGATTAATGCTTTTAAAATGTGTATGTGTATGCACATTGCAGGCAATATTGGAAATTTGAACGAGATATATAGCCATAGCCGAGCCATATGCTGTAATATGTGAGCATATGTTGACTGTGTTACAGCTATAGCCAAATATTGCTAGAAGAGCATTGATCGTTTAGAGGATCCACTACAACCAATTATCGGATTGGGATCTTTATACATTACAAGTGGGTTACTCCACAGCTTTATCTTCTATTCGTCATTGTCTGTCAGAGCAGTCTGTAGGTAATCTGCTCTTGGTTAAAATATCGTAGGCCAGTATGTCTGTCAAGCCTGGTTGGCCAGACACCAAAGACGTCAGTGAGCAATCGCGGAAGAAGAGAGAAAGGGAGGAAGGAGGATGTGCGTCAGCTTGAGGGGTGCCTTGACATTGATAATTAATACTAGGGAATTTTAAATTATTAATAAAATGAATTTAGAGATTGGTTGTGAAAAATGAAATTTTGGTTAGACCTAAAGTTGCATGATTTTAATTTTGTTCACAGTGCGAGCCGCGGTCTTGTGAGCCTGCGAACTGTGTAGTCTACTGGCTCACGTAACAAAGGGTTGCTATGCGATTCCGCTTGGCTATAAGGTAGCTTTGCATGTTATTTGATGAAGTGTCTTAGGTAAGGGTCTCTTTAGAGACACACCATGGATCGTTAGTGATTGTGAGCAAGGCTCTGTTCAAAACCTGCAGAATAGGCAACGAGCCACACATGCGTAAGTGATCGCTGGCCTAATAACCATCCTGTATAACCGAACTTCGGTTATCAAACTTAATTTTGAGATTCTTCATAGCTTAGGGTAGGTTTTTATCGATTCAGGGCGCCGCTACGTTTTTTAGTTTTCGCACTGATTCTCCGATTCCAATACCTCGTCCACCACACTTTTCAGCCTTTCGTGAACCAGATTCCCGGAACACTACTGGACCATTAGAGCAGTGTCATCAACATAGAAATATACTTTTCAATTGCTGGAGCAAAAGTCCATGAATAAGAAGCGAATAAATGAATGGTCTAAGGCGAGTACTTTGAGGGATTTCGGCACTTGTTGACAGACCCTTAATTTTGGTACGGAATTCCCTACCTTCAAGAGAGAACTTCAAAAGTTTTAGGAGCCAGAAGCGGAGGGCCTTTTGGATCAGTTCATAGAGGCCCTTGTGCCGCATCTTCAACACATCCAGAAGTAGGATGCCAGTATAAAGCATCCGTATGCACCCGATATTCCTTTGTCAAAGATACTCATAATGAATCTGTTACCATGGAGTGTGAGTGGAATTGATTTTCCCTTGCCCTACATTGCAGCGACTCGAACTTTTTCTTTTATGGATCGCGGTGTCACTGGAAAATCCTCTCATTGTATAATAATGTGACGCAGGCTTTACGTTGCACAATAACGCTGAAAGAAAATGTGTTTTATGTAATCCACCTTATTCTGCCAGCGGTTGTCGATTAAGGCGCGAAGCATGAAGGTGATGAGCTCTTATTGTTGCATGCTGTTATGTAGAAAAACAAGCACTGAAAAATATCAGGTGAGATAATCACTGCTTCGATGAGATAAACAAATATTGTACGGACGGCGAAAGCTTACCTGCTAAAGCTAAACAAGATCAATTTAAATGTTTACTTCCACGCCAACTGGAGAGGAAGTATTGTAATCGCGAAACATCTGGGAAATGAAATATGATTTTTCGGTCACTCACTTCAGATGCCCTGTCTATCTGTCGCTCTCTCTATCTCTCTCTCTCGCTGAACGAAATTTGGCACAAGGCTGCTACTAAGCCGCGGACGAAAATGCTGGATTTTAAAAATGGATCCAGTGGTGGCGGAGTTACGTAAAAAACAAAACAGGAATAAATAAAAACTGCTCAAATTTCGTTTTCTTTCAGAAACTTATTTGTATGTATGTAGGACGGGATTGGCTGTAAATATTGAAGACGTTTTTATTAAGAGATTTCTGACTCCCGCAATATTTATTTATTTTTTTTTTTTTTGGTGAGGGGGGAATGCGTTTACGCACCATACCATAGCCCGAGCTACGGCGTGTGTGGGACTCCAGGTTGTCTTGAGGAGACCACCTAATATCCACTAAACCCTAACCTCCGCGTGGCCCGACTCATCAGCGTCTCGGTAGGCCATGTGTTGTGCGTGACCTGCGGTCTGCTACAACGTGTCCTCATGTGTTTCAGTCTCTGGGAACGCCGGGTTGGTTCCCTTTACCTCGCACATTCTATCGATGTCGTTAAGCGATCATCGATAGAGGGTCTGCTAGGTTCTCTTGAAACTCTTGTTTTCGAAAAATCAAGAGTTTCATGTCCTCTTACCTATATATTGTTCCTGGTCCTGGTCCTGAAGGGTCCTGGTCCTGGTGGGTCCTGGTCGTGGCGGGTCCTGGTCCTGGTTGGTCCTGGTCCCGGTGGGTCCTGGTCCCGGTGGTTCCTGGTCCTCTGCATCCACGCTGTGGGGGGGGGGGAGCAACCGCGGGTTCTCCTAGTCTCCTAGTCAAGGTTCCAGTTAGCGGGTGCCAACTGGGACCTTGGTCTAGGGTACCTGGTGGCCTCTCGTCCGGATCGTAGTCCATGAGGAATCGTAGCTGCTCGTTCGGGTGGTCCTGAGCTGTCTAGAAGGTCTTCTCCGCTTTTTTCCTCATGTACTCGTGAATGGTGTCCCAATGCAGGTCTCTACGCAAGGTTGAGTTTTTTACGTAGGATGGTGCACTGGTGGCGATCCGGAGTAGGTTCATCTCTAGAGCAGCAAGTCGCTTGCGGTAGCTGGGGGCAGCGTACCCCCAGACCGCGGAGGCGTAAGCGAGCTGAGGTCTGGCGATGGCCTTGATCAGCCGTAGCTTGGTCGCTAGCGGCATCCGGCTGTGTCTACCCAGTAATGGATAGAGTTGAGCCATGTCTGCTCTGGTCTTTGCGATGACAGCTTCTATGTGGGCTTTCCAGGTGAGGGACTTGTCAAATACGATCCCCAGATATTTGACTTTGTCGCTCCACTGGATATCTTCGTCGAAGGTACACCTGATAGGTACACCTGAACAGTTATACCTGTCAGGTGTACCGATAGGGTGTGGCGAGAATAAAGCCAGCCACTCACGTTCCGGTAGACCTGACAGGTATGCCTGTACAGGTTTACCGCAACGTGTGAGTGAGCAAACCTGTTCAGTTCAGAGAACATGTACAGGCAACCGGAGCAGAATTGAAACTCGATTCGGTCGACCTGTGCCGGAGTGTTGCCGTACGTTGTACCGGAACGTGTGTGCCAACTCATAATGGCGTTAATAAGTGCTGACGACCAACGAAGAGTGCTTATTGAATTTATAGAAATTTATGAACTTCTGCCTTGTTTATGGCGAATTAAGGCCAAAGAATACCATGATCGGGACAAAAGAGAGGCAGCTTATAAGAAACTAACCGAAAAGCTAAAGGAAATGGATCCTAACGTGGATAAAAATGCGGTTGTAAAAAATTAATAATCTACGCAGTAATGTAAGAAAAGAAAAGAAAAAATATGAAGATTCGCTAACGTCTGGAGCATCGGCAGATGAAGTTTACCATCCCAAGTTGTGGTACTATAATTTGTTTGATTTTCTTGGTAACCAAGAAACGCCAAGAAATTCGACATCAAACTTGGATACAGAAGAGGAGACTTTCTATGAGGTAAATTAATAAAATATTCAAAAAGTTTAATTATCTAGTAAAATTATTATTATAATAATAATATTTTTTTTCATAAAATTATTTACACGTGGGAATATCAATAAAAAAGAAACTCAAACACAATTAACTATTATTCATGTTTATTATTATTTATATTATTCATATCTATTATGTATTTACTTAATAAAATCGTTTGCCATGGTACCCTGCCCTCACGATTAAAATAATGCACAAAGTTTTCCCTAACATTTTTTGCTGCATCATTGATATTTTCGCGGTTTCCTTGCTCTAAATTTTCCATGTTAGAATTTTGTGTATTGTATCCATAAGTGATGATGGTTCCGTCATCATTTTCTTGTTGAACACATTTTTGAGGTGAATACGATCTTGGTGAATTTTGTATTAAAAAATTGTGTAGCACGACTATAGCCATTACTATTTTAACAATGTTATTAGGTTCTACATTAATTTGAGTATGAAATATACGAAATCGTGAAGCCAATATTCCAAACGCACTTTCAACGATGCGCCTTGCTCGAGATAATCTGTAATTAAATTTTTTTTTCTTGCGAGGTCAAGTCCGCTTGTCGAAAAGGTTTCATCATGTCATTCCATAAAGCAAAAGCATCGTCAGCGATAAAAACATACGGCAGATTTCTATTAGTTCCTTTGACATGTTCTTCGGTTGGAATATGTAATTCACTTTTTGTCAACATTTCGAAAAATTTTGTATTTTGGAGGACACCACCATCTGAAACTCTTCCATTGGTTCCAAAATCTGCTAAAATAAATAGATACTTGGCATTAAAAATTCCTAAAAGTACCATACTGTTTCGGCCTTTATAATTGAAAAATTCAGATCCACCTCCAGCTGGCGGAATGATGTCAACTTGTTTGCCGTCGATTCCTCCCAAACAGTGTGGAAAGTTCCATCGTGCTTCAAATAATTCCGCTATCTCTTTCCAATCTTCCTGGCATTTTGGAAACTGAAAAAAGACTATAAAATATTAATGTTTAGCAATTTTAGACAATGTTGTTCTTTTGATCACAATATTTTTATATGGATATGCAACTTTAACCGCAATCAAGTTAAGACAAGCCAAGCAGTAATCATAGTTACCCAATTAACTCTCTCTAATCGTAATACTAATAATGTGAATATTATTGACTTGATAACGATTACGCATATATATTTTTTGAAACTTTGAGAGGAAAATTACAAATGAAGACAATAGCAATCCAAAAAAGTAATATTATTCAAACGATAGTAACGTTTTATTATTTCAGATTGAATCAGTACGAGGAAATGATGACGCTGGTTCTCCATCTCAAGAGCCTATTACAGCAGACGATACGGAGCCGTCAATACAAAATGAAAATGCCGCGTGTTCTAAGAGAAAAAGTAACACAATGAATACCCCTCGATCAAGGCCAGGAAAGCAAAATCAAGATTCTTTGGCCAAGGATGTTTTGACTACTGTGCAAGAACATTTCAAGCGTCCACGTATAGAGGAAGGCCGTTTCGACGTGTTCGGGAAAAGTGTTGCTATTAAACTGAGAGAAATGGATAAAAGACAGAGCCTAATTGCAGAAAAATAATCAACGACGTTATGTTTGACGCAGAACTTGGCAATCTTACACTCCAACATAGTTGCGTTAACATGCAAGAAATGTTTAATGCCAAAAATCGAAGCATGCAGCAATATCAGCCAGTTAAATTTTCTCATCAGTCGGTTTCAAGTTCCCCATCATATTCGTCCACTCCCAGCCTTATTATTAGTACCCTTACTCCAAGTCCAAATTATATGCAAGGCATTCACTCAGAAGCAAATGAACTATGTAATTATAAATATTCCCAGCAATTCTCACAGATCAATTCTGCACAACATTCTTCTCAATATCAAGAAAACCAACACACGTCTGAAGTTAATGTAGTGCTTACAGAATTAAACAATACATCTGTTGCTTCTTGTATTACCAACTTCACTGCCACTGATTAAGTACAAAAAATTAAGTTTTTCGATATGCGACAATACAAAAAACAATAATAAAAAAATAACACCTATTCGTAATGTTATTATTAAAATAATAATGTTTAATAAATACTTCTTGAAAAATAATAATTTGTTTTTTACTTACTTTCAAATATTCTTTGCACAGATTTTATACAAAGCCGCACATGTTTCGGGAATTATTTTTCCGAGAGCCTGAGGTGAAATAATTGTAGAATACTTCATATCTTCATAACTTCTTCCTGTTGCTAGGAATCTTAGAGTTGCAGTTAATCTCTGATGAGGTGAAATGCAATTTCTCATTACAGTATCCTTCTTTGTAATAAAAGGACTAATCATAGAAAGTAATTTTAAGTATGTTGCCTCATCCATTCGTAGATAGTTTTGGAAATCTTTAGGTTCAAATTTCAACTCGTTCAATAAATTAACATGACTATAATTTTTTCGCTTTAGCAACCAATCTTTGCACCATTTTCCTCGTTTTTGCTTTTCACGTTTATTTAAAACTAATACGAGACCTAGCACTGCCAATACATCGTCATCTCTCGACGCCATCATTACTAGACCGAACAAATTCTAGAATTTTACCATAGCGTGTGTGGGCTTGTCAGGTCTTCGGTATACCTGCACAGGTGTGCCTGCTAGGTCTACCGGTACGTGAGTGGCCGGCTTTACTATCCTCTCAGGTGACCTGTTCTTGCCGTCAGGCGAGTAGACTTGATGTGTGTGTGGCGGTGAAACCTGATGAGGTCTCAGTATTTAACAATCATTATGTTGACAGTTTAAATTATGAATGATGAAGTTCTTGGTCATTTTATTGAAATTTATATAAGTAAACTTTGCTTGTGGAAAGTGAAAGATAATGACTATCGTAATAGAGACAAGAGAGATGCTGCATACAGGAAATTAGCGAATAAATTGAAGGAAATAGAGCTAGATGCAAACGAGACAATTGTTAAAAAAAAATCAACAGTTTGAGATCCAATGTTCGAAAGGAGCAGTCAGTATTTCGTGTGAGGATATAGCTGCTTTCATTTGTGTATCTTTCTTTTTAATCAAGCAGGATAGAAGTGACAGCAACTCGTTCTACACTTATTCGTTCATGCGCAGGAAATTGTTATAACCAGATGGTTCATGACCTAATTCATTAAGGAGATTGATATGAGTAAATTTATTTCTTCTCTTCAACCAGTCCTTACACCATTGTTTGCGTTTCATCCGTCTGTTGTTACGTTTCTCAAAAATGGGGCGAGAAAGAGTTGATTATCTGCTGGAGAATCCATGAAGTGAACTGAGAAACTCGACAGATCTACATGAAGAGTGTCTGTGCTCCTGGTAGTATCAGGGACACCTGACAGGGGTAACTGTTCAGGCGTACCTGTCAGGTGTACCCGATAGTGTGTGACCGGCAGTAGAGATCATTGTCACACATATTTGATAGTGAAACAAATGCACCAGTGATTATTTATCTCATTTACAAATATGTGAAGGTGCAAACAAAAATTCATTCCAAAAAATCTTTACTCAGGTATATATAGTCAAGTTTCTATTTCATTTCTTCAAATATACCCGAGCCATTATGTTTTTTTTTTGTAATACAACTGTTTTTAAAACATGCTCATTTGTCCCACTTTAGTAATTTGATGTAGTAGCCTTCCTCAAATTACTCCACTGTATATTAAAAAAAAATAAAAATGTTCTTTATGTTCAGTCTATTAGAAACCTACTTGGAGGTTAACTATATCTTACATGCAATTTCTTTGGTCATTTTTTTCAAATCTAGGTCTTATGATGCTGGGTTTGGATATAGGCCGAACATAATAATATACATAATAATTGGCGCCATTTTGAACTTCTAAAGTAAGTAAGTAAGTAGAACTTTAGATAAATTATTCGTAATTTTCGATGTACAGAGTTCAATATACCTTTTGGTATGCTTATAACAAGTTGACATCAAGCGTCAATCGTGTAGTCGGGACTCTATCACCCCAGGTAAATGAAGCCAACTCCTTGTACGAAGTAACCAGGCTATACTCGGGTGCCAAAACGGAAGAGGGCAACATAACACATCGTAAGTCACTGCTAAGGAGATGTGTCTCTATATCGGCAAAATAGGAGCGCACCGTGTTCAAAGGCGTGTTACTTTAGCAGAAGTATACAATGTGTTATTTCGTTTTGTACCAGACTATAGATATCAAAACATACTCCCTACCTTTAACGTATATCCCAGCTTCTTCACAGTAGTTACCACTGGCGTATCTAGAAAAAAGTTCTGGGGGGCTTCAGGGTGGATCCAGCCTTTGAGTTAGGCATGGTGTAATATACAGGTTCTTCGAAAAATAGACGGAGATATTTGAGAGCGTGATTCCTTGTTAAAAAATATGAAAAAAGTTTCGACAAACATGGATCCGGATATACAAGGTGATAAATTTAAAAATGTTCTATTTATTAATATCTGATTTGTTGCATTAAAAGGCTAATTTAGCCCTAAATAGATTAAAATTATTTGGTCCAGTGGCGTCCCGGAGGGCATCTTAGCGAATATTATGGAAAGAAATATACGCCACTGTCTTTTTTGTAACTTTAATATTCATTGTTTGATTAAGCATCTAAAAATACAACTTCTTTGTCTCTTGTATTTTATTCGTATCTCACTTCGTTTTTGAGAAAAAAATAAAACCCATTTTATTGCATGTCACTGGGAAAAATTGACTTATTATTTTTTGCTAAAAAAATGTTATGGCACACTATTCAGGAAATGGCAGACATGCATGTAATGTATGGAGGTGCTTATAGTAACCGCCATAATAATGCTAAGGAACTTTGAAAAACCCTTCACGCTTATACGTTTAGGGTAACACAATCAAACGAGGTAGTTATTACAATTTTTATTTAAATACAGATATAAACAAAAAACTATCTGTATCACAGTAAACTGCATAAACTGCAGTGATAAGTATTGTTGTTCTGATTCGTCAGCGATATGCAATCAGTCTAAATATAAGTTTTGCTCCCCCACAACTATCCATGATATCTTTGAGTAATTCCATAGGCACACTAACTGAGCATTCCGGTCCATTTTGCAAACATAAACCAACAATCTGACCTTCGAACTCCAGCTTTCGGCTTTCAGTGGATAGTTCCAAGTCATACTTCAAACGTACGTCTAGTTGATCATTAACCATGACACAAGTTGTCATTCTAATACCTTTTGTATACTTGATCACAAATTTGATCGACATTCCTTGACAATAACTATAATATGTTTCTTCGAAGCTGTCATGGCTCAAATCTAACAAGATCTCTTGACCAGGATTAACGGTTTGATATTCGGTTGGATTAAAATCATGAAATGTTCGCTCGTGTTTAATGACATCTTGTGGCGTTCCTCCAAACTTACAGCCTAAATATCTATAACAACAAGGAATACTGATAAATGCTCCAATATATTTGAGTGAGAAGACTTTGTCTTGTTTTAAAGGCGTTTGACATATATTGCAGATTTGCAGCCTTTGTTCACATGTTTCACAAAAGATGTGCATTTTTGTACATGTGTAAGAAGTTGGTAAAGTATAAAACTGACAAATAGTACACCTCAACTTAGACAAAGGTATACTGGTGAAGTTGCGTGTTAACTTCTCATATCTTCTGTCATAAATGTCAAAGTATACTTGCGCATCTAGGAGCTTCAAGTTGAGCTTGAGCATATCTTCAGTTACAGGTACTTTACAAACATATAAAGGGACAGGTATATTTTTGTCAAGCAACTTCACTCGGTAAAATAATCTCGTACTGTAAATATGTTTTTCTTGGACCTTTGTAAGTCTGATATATAAAAACGTGTCTGAGATTCTTGTTTGAACTAATAGAATTTGATCGTCATGGACATAAAGCCTATTTTCAAATCTACTGAGTGTTGATAATGATATCTCCCTAGTTGTCAAGATAAGCTCTTGATGCATTTTCCTAAAATGTAGCAACATGTTTGTCCTAGCAATTTTTGAATCACATCCAACCGCAGGGCATGTGATCGATTTAAATCTGCATCTGTTTTCATGCCATAAAACATCCCCATATTTAATAAACGTCTTACAACCTTGGATGTCGTATCTACAAGGCAGAAACAGGTGACCTGAAGCATTGTAGCAGTCAGCAATATTGCCTTCAGATTGAGTGTGACATCTTCCGCATATGTATTCTGAATCAGGAGTTTTTGTTATTGGTTCAACAGAAAGGTATTCTTTGCATAAGAAGCATCTGCTGATTTGCGATGGCGACAGAAAAATCTTTGAAGGAGCGACCGGTGTTGGATAATCCTGCAAAGTACGAGACAAGTAAGTTTGTAAAAATTGCTTTACTCTCTAAATTATTCTGAAAATCTACGGAAAAGAATATGGTAACAACGGCAGAATGTTGCGACAAGTGACGTTGCCCATTGAGAAATCTTTGGGTACTACTATGATAAAATAGTTTTCAAAAAGCCCCCCCTCTACTTATTTCTGGTACAGGTGAAGTTAGCAAGCTTAAATTTGCGATCATGAAACTGATGCATGAGTACTATATTTTTTGCACTACTAACTCGAGAAATGATAATTAGTAACCGCAACTCCTCATTGGGAAATAGCATTTCTCTCTCCGAGATAAATAATAACGCCATTTTGAATTGCATCCTGTCATTCTCATTGTGTCAGTTTGACAATGGAATTTTATATTTTGGAATATTTTAGAACTATTGAGAGATAAGTCAGTACAGCCCCTCATGTAGTTCTGCTCTTTGGGTACTCCAAAACGTCATCTGGACGCCAATTTGACACATTTTTCAAGCAGAATGGGCGGTCGTGTGATACCTCATTTTGAAGATTTTTAACAGTAGTCTATAACCTCAACCTGACGCTCAACCTTGTCCCAGAAGGAACTTGAAAATAAGATACTACGTAGCTCCCACTCGGTTTAAAAGAATGGTACATCTTGAAATGTTCGACTGTTATTTTTACATCAAATGTAGTTTTCGTGCGTCAATGTCATCATCCTAAATCTCAGCTTGCTAACTTGACCGGTTTAAAAAATAAGTAAAGGGACTCTCTCAAAAGCACTGTATGCTTTATTATACACAATTGGCTCCCCAGACTTCTAACTACTAATAGTCTAATCATATTAGCAAGTTACGCCGGAATAATTGTAAAGTCTGGTTTTATTGATGCAAGTAGTTCAAGCGGGTATGTAAAAACCTTTTATTTGACAACAAAGAATGAGAAAACGTGATTTTTGGGATTTAATCGAAAGTGTTGACACTAACGAAAAAACTTTTTAAATGAGATTTTTAGGTATTTATGAGACCTACATAATGAGACCACACGTAAGAAGATCAGACTAATAACAAAAATGTTATGGCCGAAAAACGAGGCAAAATGCAGGTTTCGACAATTGTTGGTAATGCGACGATAATTTCATGCAACTGCTTGAAATTCTCCAAATCCGTAGGATTCATACTTCTATATAACAACAACAAAATTGGAATATATTGGTAAAGTAGTTTTTTGAGAATTTCTAATTCCTTATTCCAAAACACCTGTTTTCCGGCCATCACTTCTAGCTTAGTGAGCTATATACAAGGTTCGTTCAAAGAGCATTTAATAGCAAAATACACGTGCTTACCTTGCCGATATGAATTACAAATCATTCAGAAAGATAAATGTTATTTTTATGCGAAAGACAAAGGTTACGTTTTTTCTTCTAACCAAAGTTTTCCCACAAAAATTGGTGGACCTATTTTATGCGTCCATGTCTTGAATACCCCCTTGAACAACTTGCAGCAATAAAAACAGACTTTACAATTATTTCGCAAAACCAGGGGTATTTTCGTCTAATATGATTAGACTACAAGACACAGTAGACTGTAGTGGAACCATGCACGCACAACAATGCATTAATCTGCATGTAAATAATGTGCAGTATTACTAATTTAAAAACAATAATTTCCACTGACTTTATTAGATTTGTAATTGAGCTAAACTGACCTACACAATACTTCACAATTGATGATAAATTGCAAATGTAACAACATCTGATAATTTTTTCCATTTTCCCACACTGATAATCTCTCTGATTCACTTTTCTCATGTATAATAACTACGATTAGATTTTATCAAATACACGGTAGAACTTTTGCCATGTGAAACTTTATGATATGAATCATCGGCATTGCTGATAGATATGATAAAAGTTTGTGTTCATCTACAGTACCTGTTTAGCGGAAAGGGTGGTGGAAGGATTGGACTAACATGAGTGATGTAGAATTTTCTGATCGAGAAAGATGAAGAAACGTTTAAATTAGTGGTTGCTAACCTCTGGTATGGGAAATCAGTTCCTAATCTACAAAGTATATGGTAGCAATAAACAAAGAGCCCGACAAGTGGCTCTATCCATTGAGAATCAATGGTTCTTTTTTAATGTAATCAAATTTGGCAACAGATCTCTTTACGACATCTAATAAATTCTAGGCCGTGGTCAAAACATGCATGTGCATAATTAAGCAATGAGCAGTGGCGGTGGAGGAGGGGCTGGAGGGGAGCCACCCCGAAAAGGTGAACAGACAGTTCAGTATAAGTTACGACTTGACATTGAGGTTACATTGAAACAGGTGTCGGAAAAATTTGTTAAAATGGGCGAACATCGGATTGATCTGATTGACTAAAAGTGCTTATATTCGCATGCCAATATAATTATTTCATACTAACACATAAGCACAAATCCGAGCATTACATTTTCCATGTTCCGAAATATTCATTAAATATTTACTCAATATTTTTATCTTACTTAAATATTTTTTATCTTAAACAAATATTTAATAAATATTTTGGATGTAATATTTTTATTATGTATTTATTCAATATCTTCTAAATATTTTAAATACAACATTTCTTTTATAATATTCTTCAAATATTTACTTTTCAATCGATAGAAAATATTAAAACTCCATAATTTAGATAATATTCATTAAATATTTTCGGTTACGGCGCATGTGCGTGTGACCCCGAGCGACAAGCGGACCTGAGCCGGCCCATTTACCGGCATCCATTTTGCCTGTGGGTTTCACTATGATAGCGTGCTTTCTGTGTACCTCCAAATGGTTCATTATTTGAGTGTTTTTTTGTGAAAAAGAGTATGTTGTGAGATAATTACATAGCTTAATTTATCTGACTAGTAAACATTATTGAGCCAGTTGGGTATAAAGGTACTTACAAGACCATAAATAACTAACCTTGGAGTGTAACACTTATCTGCGGTTTGGGATTGGTGGTTTTATCTTAAAATGGATACGAAAATTATATCCATAACATCCCAATGAAAAGTCATATAATCATAACTTGATCGAGATACATCAACATTACTTTTTTTAAATATCTCAATTATTATTATTATTTTTGTCCTAGTAGTGGGCAAATCAGCTATAACTATTTTAAAATTTTCAAGTTTTGGAAGTGATGTAATGCAGTGCTTCTTCATTTCTGAATAATGATGAAGTGACAGTTTAGGTATCGACAGAAAACCTAGAAAGGTTTCAAATCATTAAAAACATTATATCTATATTTTTCCAACTTTCTAACAATCTATGAGCGTGGTGGAAGTGGAGCTCAAAAAGACTGGATTAATAGATTTGTAGAAATAAGTTATACTTACCATCAATACTCTCAGCTATGTTAAGTAGTCAAACAGCTGAACTTACACTAATCGTATGAAGCTATAAAGTTCAGTTATTTCCTGTTTTTAAGTTCATAAATCAAATAAGAGTTTCTACAATGCAGTACATGTCCATGCTAATGAGATGTACTTTTATATGTGCAGTTTTGTATATATCAGAAGTAGATAAAGAAATAATACCGAAAAAAAGATAAAGATAATCCACGATAGGAATCTACCTTGTCTCACGCCGATTAAATAGATACAACAGATAGCGGAAAATATACATTTTCCCACGGTTTAGCATCAACATATCCGTGTTTTTGACTGAGTGCTGTGACAGTAGGTTCTAGGAATTAAAAGAATTCGGGAATGATCTGAACTCCAATAATTCGAAATGAATTCATCCAGAAAAGATGTGGGTTTGGGTTACTGATTACTCAAAGCGCAGGAGCAAGCATTGAGATCGCATCTAGAGAAGCACCATTCTCGCTGAAGTTTCACACTCTGTATACACATATCTCATAGAGATGCGACAGCCTCTGATAGTTCCTTCGATCGTGGTGTCACCACCTATGTGATAAATATCCTACCTATTACCATTAGCAGCTGCAAGATTTTGTGCAAGGTGAGCAGCTAAAAAAATGTACGGTTGTGCTTCCAAAGAGATCTTAATCTATACGATGCATTGGGAACAACTAAACTTACCTTTGATTATTTCCCGAGAAAAGCAGCCTTAGAATTCACCACACACGTTCTATCTTTTCAAAATTATTCTTTGAATGTCTCACAGTGACAATGACGGAATCTTATCAAACTCATCGTACCTTATTTTTGACAAGCTGAAGTTCGAAAACAGAGTACCGAAAAAAAATTGATTTGTGCGATAAGTGCGACAAATAAATACATACATAGAAACATCAAAACAAAATTTTTCCAGAGTTTACTATCTCTAAAATGTCATATGTCTTATCCATGTACTTTCCTGGTTTGAATTCTATCAATGCGTAAGCTATATTGAAAACGTTGTTTCGTTTAATAGTCATTTTATTTTGCGTGGTTCAACATTTAAATCTTTTCATGTACTCCATTCTTCCACAGCCCGCAAGCTTCCCGTTTCGTCTGTCTCTACGACTACGAGCCCCTTCCCACTTCAGTTGGCCCAACTATTGGAATCTTAGTTTTTTTTCTTATAAAACACAAATAATAAAAATGTAGCAGGGTGTTATAGGTTTAAAATATTAACAATGAATATTTTGATAATATATAGTAGAAAACTTTATCACTCCCTAATCAAATTTGCAGCATATCACCCTATTTTCATTTCAATGCAAAATAAGTCTATAATGCATAGGTGGCTGTGAAAAATAAAAGCCATGACAATTGTTTTTATTAATCACAACTGTCAGAATACGTTTAAAATAGTTTTGGGTAGTTAAGGTGTTCAAAATGGGTAGAGGAAAGGTTATTAAGTAGTGAGAAAATTCGGTTACTGATAATTAATTTTTTTAATTCTGGGAAATCAAATTCAGAAATTGCAACTTTGTTAGACTTATCGCGGTACAGTGTGAGAGATATTGTTAGAAGATATAACGTAACTGATTCAGTTAATATTAAACCACGATATGTGAAAAAAAGTAATATCACAAATGCCGACCGAAGAGCATTAAGAAGGCGTGCGAATTATTTACAATTAAGTGCTCTGTGGAGTGACGCTGTTGGAAGGAGAATTTCAAGGTCCACAACTCATAGAGAGGCCCACAAACTGGGATTTAGCACTTGCAAGTTAAGTTTTCTTATAAAAATAGTGAAGTAAAAATCCTAAAGCACAACTTTTTTATAGGCCAAAGAAAAGCCACTATTAACTCCTCTGCAAAAGAAAAATCGGCTTAGATGGGCTAAAGAACATAGACAATGGACATCTCAACAATGGTGTGCAATACAATGGAGTGATGATGCCCGATTCGAAGTTTGTGTTGGTGACAGTCGCAGTAGAGTTATTGCAGTGAGAAATGTGGATACAAACAAATATTTGGCAATTTTAGAAGAATCGCTTTTACCAGTGATGGAAGAATGTTTGACATCCGGCCAAGATTTTGTGTTTCAGCAAGATGGTTCAGCGTGCCATACCTCAAAAAAGGCTATAAAATGGATGGAAGAAAATAATGTACCACTTTTGAAATGGGTTCTAGCAGTCCAGATCTGTCACCTATTGAAACTTTGTGGCACGAGATGAAAAAGGTTCTACGACAACATCCTGCTCGTACAATCACCGAACTGAGACAAAAGCTTCAAGAAATATGGGATTGTTTTACACCAAAATAAAGGTGATGTTACCCAATGGTAATATTTCAATTGTTACTTTGTTAACTTCGCGCATTTATTCGCTTGTTCAGATGTTCTATTAGTTATAGGTCTGAGTGATTTCAAATATGTATTTTTTACGACTAGAGTGTATCTAAAATGTTTTTGAGAAAATAAATTGTTTTAGAAGTAAATAGTTTTGTCATGCTTAGTTTATAAAGGCATATTTTGGTACAAATCTTGAAGTGGGCCAACTGAAGTGGGAAGGGGCTCGTAGACCTAACACCTAAGTCGCATGGATGAGTTGCGTATGAGCACGATACAGCGGTGTCTGCAGTTGGTCTTGGTTACGGGAGACGGAAAGCAATCATATCAATTTCAACCGATAATATCCTATACCAAACTCTAACCGCTTTATTATAAGGTTTTTCGTTGTCGAACAATTTGTAACTGCTTCCTTTCAGATGGTCTACTTTAGTAGACTTCATTCGATATTTTGAAAATTAATAGAATCCGATGAAGACAAAACTTAATGTACTGGTTAAAAATGACTTAATATGCACCATTACCCTAAATGTGAGTGGTTTCAGAATAACGACAGTCTGAAGCTGCTACACAAAAACTTATAAAATCCTGAAAATGTGCGCTCCAAAATATATCAGATGAGATAATACCTAATACTTATTCTGAGAAAGTTTCATGAAATAGATATTTGTTAGGCGGCGAATCCTCCATGGAGGAGCTCTAGCGATACCAGACTATAACACAAGCAATATTTCGGTCAGTAATAGCAGTGGGTCATCGCCCCATTACCATGATGTGCACCTTGAAGGCTGTTGCCGGGCCTGTTGTATAAACGGCGCTGCAAGCCCCTTTGTGCAACCGCAAATGAGCTCAAACCTCACAAACGACCTGCGTTAATACTTTATGGCTAGTGGATTGTTTTCACGAAGGAAGGTTTCTGGGGCGTAGCACTTCTGTAAACAGAAATCTCCTTATAGATGGGGCTGCTTTCACCGTTCACTCGGTCACTGGATTCTCACAGATAAGAGGAAAATGTTCACTGCGGTCAATGTTTATGATCACTGTTGTCAATGTTTTCGCTTGATTATAATAATAACAATAACAAGAACAGTAATCTTTAATTGCAAATACAAACGCTATACAAAGGCTGTAAATCACATGTGATACAAATAGCGTCAACCAGACAAAAATAACGATAAAGTCTTACTCTATAGCATATTATTCAAATCTTAAAAAGTCATCTATTGTATATGGTTCTAGGCTCAGTATTATTTTATTTAACGTATTTTAAACGCACTCAGTTTTAAAATCTTTTACACAGGTGCTGGTAAATGATTAATGAGCTTTTTCTAATAACGCTAAATGCTTGAGATAAATATAGCTACATCGGCACACGGTACATCTTAGGACCTACATTTATGGGAAACTTTTGTTAGTTTAGATATAGCCGAGAGCCGAAATTGACGCTGCAGTTTTTTCTACCCATGAGAGGCTTCAGGAATGCATAGAAAGTGATGGTCAGCATTTCGAGCATTTACGTTGACATTAAAAACGTTACTTTTTTAAATCGGTCCTTTTTAGGGTTATAACTTAATAAATTTAAGAAAAATTAGTTTAAAGCAATAGAAATTTAAGAGATTTCTTTATAAAATTTTCTTCTTACCTAAATTTTAGGCTAGGAACAAGATATCGAGATGCGGTTTTCACGAGCTTGTTTAGACCTAGCCCCTACTGAGCGAGGGCCGTGGCAAATGCTTGTTCCGGAAGTTGTTGTATCCAGTATACAACTTCTTCCCGTCCAAGTGATTGTGCACGCGTTAAGGAATACCTCAGTACCGATTGCCGGGTGGCGGTACAAGTCCGCCAACGGGCCACTTTAGGTCTATTTAACATCACTAACACGTAAAAAGAAGGTGGTAGACAAGGACCAGTCGACCGAAGCAGTACCACCCGCTAGCTTTTCCCAGGGTGTCTTATAAATGTCCGCATGTTTCCACACCTAAGCTATGCAGTCGGTTATCTACCAAAACAAAGAAATTAATGATGATGGATCCCTCGAGCACTAAAAACTCCGGACGTAAACTCACTCCACTCTCGGAATGTCCAGGTGGAGGGTGGGCTCGAGGGAACAACATCGAAGATAAAATTTGTTTTTCGAACATCTGCGGGATCAACAGCAACATTGATGCTGTTCATCACTACCTGCAATCCAATCGTCCCGCCGTGCTTTTCTTGGCGGAGACAAAAATCTCAGAGACTGCACCGATTAACCATCTCAACTTCCCAAACTACGAGGTGCACTCCAATCTGAGAAAGAACGGGGGAGTTGTGGCTTTTGTCCGCAGCAGTCTTTCCTGCTCCAGGGATCTTTTTTTGGAATCAGACCGAAAGGACATTCTGTGGCTTCGCCTCATCTCCAAAACATCTCCCAAATTTATTTGCTGCCTTTATCGCTCTCCCTCGAACCATAACTGGGATGACCTACTCGAATACCTCGCCGTCCAGATCGACTTCCTGAACATCAATCACCCCGCTTCAGAGGTAGTTCTTCTCGGTGATTTCAATGCCCATAATGAGCTTTGGTTGGGCTCAAATAAGACCGATGCAGCAGGTCGTGCAGTCGAAGCGTTCGCTCTTACTCAAGAGCTGACCCAGCTGGTGACGGGCCTCACAGAACCTACTTACAAAACCCCACTGTAGAGAACAGACAAGCCGACGTCGAGTCCAGAAACAAATATAACGAAGCGGTTCGCAATGCCAAAAACCAGCATGATATAAAAGTTAGGCACAGGGTAATGTCACAGCGCAATGGCAGTCG